CATTAACTCGTGGGATTATCCCTTTTATCACACAGGGAATATTATTATCCTTATTGTATAGTTAAGGAGACTGAATCTTAGAGTTCACACAGCTAGTAAGCATCAGCGGTGAGATTTGACCCTAGGTCTCTCTTAATTTGGAATTTAACAACTATCCTATATGGTTTCTGTCACTATCAATGATAGCAGATGGACCTCATGTTAATGGCAGACAGTCTCAATTTCTTTTTGAATACCTGATAGACCAAGCTGTTGACCGTGGTAACAAAAAGCCTAACTCATCCCCACACCTAACTTGTGATTATGTAAAGGTTTTTCACTTCAATATTCTCTGTAAGAGAATACAAAACTATGATGGGATTCCACCCTACACCCATCAGGATGGCTACTATAAAAAAACAAAACAAAGTACAAACGGTGAGAATGCAGAGTAATTGGAACCCTCGTGCCCTATTGGTGGGAATGTAAATGGTACAGACACTGTGGAAAACAGTATGGGGGCTCCTCAAAAAAATTATAAATAGGATTACCATATGATCCAACAATTCCACTTCTGAATGCATACCCAAAAGTATTGAAAGCAGCATTTCAAAGTAGTATTTTTACACCCATGTTTACAGCAACATTATCCACAGTAGCTAAAACGTGGAAGCAACCCAAGTGTCTATTGACAGATGAACAAGATATACATAAAATTGAATATTATTCAGCTTAAAAAGGAGGGAAATTCTCTACAGTTAAGAGTCTGTTTCTTCTACTCCTAAAACCAATATTGCACTGTATGTTAATTAAAATTTAAATAACTGGAGAGTATTATGCTGAGCGAAATAAATCAATCAGAGAAAGACATGTATCATATGATCTCACTGATATGAGGAATTCTTTTTTTTTTTTTTTAAAGATTTTTATTTATTTATTCATGAGAGACAGAGAGAGAGAGGCAGAGGGAGAAGCAGGCTCCCAAGAAGCAGAGAGCCCGATGCGGGACTCGATCCCAGGACCCTGGGATCATGACCTGAGCCGAAGGCAGACGCTTAACCATCTGAGCCACCCAGGCGCCCGATATGAGGAATTCTTAATCTCAGGAAACAAACTGAGGGTTGCTGGAGTGGGGGGTGGGGTGGGAGGGATGGGGTGGCTGGGTGATGGACATTGGGGAGGGTATGTGCTATGGTGAGCACTGTGAATTGTGTAAGACTGGTGAATCACAGATCTGTACCTCTGAAACAAATAATACATTTTATGTTAAAAAGAAGAAGAAGAAGAAGAAGATAGCAGGAAGGGAAAAATGAAGGGGGCGGAATCGGAGGGGGAGACAAACCATGAGAGATTATGGACTCTGAGAAACAAACTGGGGGTTCTAGAGGGGAGGGGGCGGGGGGATGGGTTAGCCTGGTGATGGGTATTAAAGAGGGCATGTATTGAATGGAGCACTGGATGAATCATGGAACACTACATCAAAAAATAAATTTTAAAAATAAATAAATAAAATGTTTAAAGAGTCTCTGTTTCTTGGTTTGTCTCTCTTTTTTTCCTTTGTTTGTTAGTTTTGTGTCTTAAATTCCACAAATGAGTAAAATCATATGGTATTTGTCTTTCTCTGACTGACTTATTTCACTTAGCATTATATTCTCTAGTCCATCCATGTTGTTGCAAATGGCAAGATTTCATTTGTTTATGGCTGAATATTATTCCTTTGTACATATATACTGGAATTAAAATTAAAACCCTAATTTAAAAAAAAAAAGAAAACAAATAAGAAAGAAGAAAGAAAGAAAGAAAATGCTTTTTAGGTTCCTGAGTGCTAAGATTAATTTTTTTGTATAAAAAATATAATTTTTGTCTTCTACTGATGTACTTGATATTAAATCTGGATTCTTACAGCTTGAAAAAAAAGGAGGGAAATTCTGACACAGACTACAACATAAATGAACCTTGAGGACATTTGCTAAATGAAATAAACAGTCACAAAAAGACAGAACTGGGGCCACCTTCAGCTCAGGTCATGATCTCCAGGTCCTGGGATGGAGCCCTGCATTGGGATCCCTGCTCAGCGGGGAGCCTGCTTCTCCCTCTCCCTCTGCCCCTCTGCCCTGCTTGTGTGATCACTCACTCTCTTTCTCTCTCGCTCTCTCGCTCTCTCGCTCTATCTCAAATAAATAAAATCTTAAAAAAAAAGATAGAAACTGATACGACTTATATGAGATACCCAGAGTAGTCAAAATCCTAGAGACAGAAAGTAGAAGGTGGTTGCCAGGAACTAGGGAGACAGGAAAACACAGAGCTATTGTTTAATGGGTATAGAGTTTCAGTTTTACAAAATAAAAGTGTTCTGGAGATGGATGGTGGTGACGATTGCACAACATTATAAATGTATTTAATGCCACTGAACTGTACACCTAAAAATAGTTAAGATCGTAAATTTTATGTCATCCATCTTTTGCCATAATAAAAAACGTTTGAGAAAAAATTACATTAAAGTTGAATAATTGTCAATTTATGGTCAATTTGAACAACCAGTTCAAACATGTTAGGTTAAAAAGGAGAGTCATTTTCACATCATAAAAAATAATCAAGGAGCGCTTGGGTGGCTCAGTCTGTTAAGCGTCTGCCTTTGGCCGAGGTCACGATCGTAGGGTCCTGGGAATCAGCCCGACGTTGGACTCCCTGCTCAGCAGGGAGTCTGCTTCTCTGTCTGCCCGCTGCTCGTGCTCTCTCTCTCTCAAATAAATGAATAAAATCTTTTTAAAAAAATAATCAAGAACCACAAGAGAGTCATATTCAGAGAGAGGTGGCTTGTTTCTTATGTACCTGCACCAGACAATGTGGCTTGTGATTAAAGGGTTATCCAGATGCACAGAACCTCTGAGAAAACAATTGCTGTGTGCTAAGGCAGGGGGAGGTCCGGCAGACCGGATGGCTCATTCATCACCTTACGGAAGGCAGCCTCTTAAGATCATGTAAACGGGATGAAGAACTCTCTCGGAAGGTTCCAACAAACATATGCCAGCCCTCTGAGTTCTCTGTCTGGGGTCATTTCACTTGAAATGACTCATCTTAATCTTTTAAGGTTCTGGGAAGTGTAAGATATATATCAGTCAGGAGGTCCCACATCTCTTAACTGCCGCCTTTATGACAGAGAAGAAATCCTTCCCGAATGACCACACTTGAAGGTAGGAAACAGCAGGGCAGAGTCCAGAGCTCTGCATGGATTGTTTACTAAAAAAATCCCTCATAATTTCCAGAGCAAAAACTGGATTTAGGAAGCTAAATTCAAAACTTATTTTCGTGACCTTCAGAAAGGACCCTTCAGCACAAAAATTTATCATAAATGTTACCATGCTTTGCCCTTTGAAATGAAACTCATTTACTTCAAGTTGAACATTGCTGGTTATTTTACCCACTTCTACTGCTGTATTTCTGGAGCATATTCCCCATCCTTTCCACAGATTTTGGTCTTTTTTTTTTTCCAGTGGAAAAGGAATTTGTTGGGTCATGTGTTCCTAGAATTCTTTCTGTAGTTTGTTCTTTTTTTTTTTTTTTGATTTTTTTTTTATTTATTTGACAGAGAGAGATACAGTGAGAGAGGGAACAGAAGCAGGGGGAATGGGAGAGGGAGAAGCAGGCTTCCTGTGGAGCAGGGAGCCCGATGCGGGGCTCGATCCCAGGACTCTGGGATCATGACCCGAGCTGAAGGCAGGCGCTCAACGACTGAGCCACCCAGGAGCCCCTCTGTAGTTTGTTCTAAGTCGTTCATATCCTCTCTCCTAGTCTGTCACTCACCTCTGAACCATTTGCCCACTGTAATGGGTGAAAAGGGCTAATCTAGATGCAGCTCAATTCAACGCAGAGAGCTCCAGATTAAAAGCCAGGGACCAAGCCTATGATTTTCCTATCAGTAGCATCACATCCTTCTTGCTGCAATAAGCACTAAATCTTACAGGTAAGTGAGGCATTTAATAAACACTATATCCCTGGAACAACTTTATAAGCCCATAGAAATGAAAATCCATAAAATACCTAGAAAATTACTGCACAAAGCAGGTGAACAACAGATGAAGATTTTACTCTGATGTTGCTTCTGCCATTCATTTACTCACTCATACATTCATACATTCACGCATTCAGCAACTATTTATCGAATGGCTACTATTCGTAGCCACTAGAAATAGGATGGTGAACAAGGCAGACATGGTCCCAACAATCACAGAACTTACATTCTAGTGGGAGGAGGTATGTAGAGAAGTTGAGAGGAAACCACAATAGCTTATAATAAATGCTATCGTAATGGGAGAATCGTAGTGTGCTACTGGGACTACAGAGGAGGGACGACTAGCACAAGTGTGTGTGTGTGTGTGTGTATGTGTGTTTATGTGTGTAGCTGGTGACCAAGGGCTCCCATGATTAAATCCCAGTTGATACTTAAAATATGAGTTTAAGGGGCGCCTGGGTGGCTCAGTCAGTTAAACGTCTGACTTCAGCTCAGGTCATGATCTCAAAGGTCCTGGGTTTGAGCCTCAAGTCGGGCTCCCCACTCAAGGGGGAGTCTGCTTCTGGCCCTCTCCTTCTCCCTCTGCCCCTCCTCCTAATTACGCTCTCTCTAATAAATAAAATCTTTTAAAAATAAATGAAATAAGAGTTTAATTTAGACAAATAGAGGGCTGGGGTGGGGTGGAGAGACAAGGGAGAACCAGTACGTACAAAGGCCCAGAGGCTAAAAAGAAGATTCTATTAATTCCATAATGTTTCGGCGATCGTCCCACATTTCACTTCTCTTCTCTGTGACAGAAGGCGGTGTCTTAGCCAAACACTTGGGCAAGACTGTATTTGGAGTTGCAAGCTGCTGCCCGTAAAAGTTATTTTCTCTGTTTATAATGGTTAAGCTGTTTGACTATGTCATTTATTGCATTCCCCACTGAAAACGTGACCAGCTCACAGACAGGGAGCATAGCTCAGTGTATTTCCCAGAAGCCAGGGTAGTATTCCTTACACAATGGAAGCTTTAGAAATGCTGGTGCTAAACAAATAGATAAACAGCAGAGAGAGGTCGGCAACCAAGCTGGAACTCCCAGAATTTTCAAGGGAGCGGCAATGTTTATCCACGGAGGTTTTTAAGCCAGCATTACTTGCTGAAGTTCCAACAGTAGGAGCTTAGCCACAAAGAGTCTCATTATATAGTATCTTGGCAATCCAAATAGTCCCTCCCCTGACTGAATTTGGTTGACTCCGTCGATGACAGAGGCCAAAATCAGGAGTTTCGAGTCCTGTGAAAGGTTCCTTAGCTTCAGGGAGAGAGAGAGAAGAGCCGTTCCACCGTCCCGCGCCTCGCCACACCCTGAACTCAGGCCAGGCTGAGGGAAATAGCGTTGCATAGAGCGTGTGGCCCGTAGTATGAGGACATAAACATAAAGAAGTAGTTTCTGCCACTAAGATACATCTGGCACTTAGCAGTGGCTTGATAAATATTTGCTGAGAAACTGAGTGAACACAGTCCCACGTATTTCAACAAAACACTTACCACAAACTATGTTACAGTTTTGTTTTTATAGTGGGACTTTCTCCTAGGCTGTGGAAATTTTCGTATCCCATGGACTCTTTGTAGTCTCTACCAAAGGACCTCCCCTGCGGTCCCGAAGGAACCCCTGCCATTTCTTTTGAAGACAGTAAGAGCCGCAGCTGCTGAGGGGGCCCTGGTCCCCCCTCATGGAGACTTTGGCGTGCCTCTGCTCCGATGTCACCCTACCCTGTGCGCAGCTGTTGGACCCAAAGAGCTGCTCTGAGAGTCGCAGTAGCCCTAAGAGCTCCAGAGTCATCCTGAGAGAATGTTCTACAAAGAACGCACGTTTGTAGGTAAGCAGGACTCCACTCCACTCTTGGATTGCCCAACTGCCGGTGCTCCTGGCCCCCAAGAGCAGAGGGTTCTGACAGGAGGAATCAGTAACTTTATTTCCCGATGCAGAGAACATATTCCTTTCCTCTGAAACCTGGAAAATCATATCCATTAGTGGCCTATTTATTCATAAACATCCTCAAAACGAGGGTTCTGTCTGCTCAGGTAAGGACAGTCTTAAATCTCAGGGAGTCAAGTTCTTCCTTTAATCAGCCCCAATAATACCAGTCAGAAGCTCTGGTTTCGAGTTCTCTGAGCCATATGAGCAAGCCATTTTGCTTCCAGGGCACTTTCCTCAGCCTCTTTGGCATAAACTGCAACGAGGTCTTAGCTATTTTCTGTTTGAAGTGGTGTCTCGGACTTTGGGATTCATGTGATCATTGAGCATGCTGAGAAAAATGAAGCAAACAGTGTGACATCAAGGTGAGGATTGCCCTTTCCAGTGATGGGGGGGTGGGGCAGACAAGATTAGCCAAATGGCAGTACTGTAACAGGCTCGAGGTGCAATTTTCATTACTCTCTGCAGAACGCGCACTGATCTGGGGAGGAAGGAAGACAATAATGAGCGGCACTGTCCCACAACTGAGCTTTACGGACACGAAAATGTTCTTCATCAAACTCCAACCTCTTTCATTTGTTTCTTCCTAATTCTCATCTCCTCAGGCTGGCTGGGAATATTCTCTTCCCTGGTTTCTGTCATCAGGTCCTTGGATCATCATCCATCACTCACTCAGCAAGTATGTATTAGGTCCCCGTCGTGTACCCGGCCCTGGGAGTAAGTTCCAGAGCTTCTGTCTAGTAATGAAGTATTTGAGGTAGAGAGTGGTAAGTACGATAAAAAGGCATCTATCTACAAGGCAAGGGGGCCAGGGAAGGAAGAACTCTCTTCCAGCAGTTCCTGATAACTTTCCTACAAGTAAGACCCTGGAGCTGAGTCCGTCAGGACATATGGGAGTTTCTGAGTGAATAAGTACAGGATGAGGAGCAGGGGGCCGGAGACAGAACTCCGGGGAAAGGAAGAAGGCTAGCAGCAGCCAATGCTTACTGATGTGTGTGTCACTGACATGTTTATCATGTCCTACGCACTCTTCCGTGTTCTTTACCGGCATTCATCTTTTTAATCCTTACAAAAACTATATGAGGTAGTCCCACTGTGGCAACTGACACACAGAGAGACAAGCAAGTTGGCCAAAATCACACAACTAAAAAGTGATGAGTCCACAGTAAGAATCAGAGCCTGAGCCCTTAACCGGTAGGATAGTGTGCAGAAAGAGATGTGCACGGGTCCAGAAATGCGAGAACAAGCCCTTCCAGGGGAAACAGGAGTCAATGCGAAGGGACAGAGTGGTCACGAGGGAGCATCAGAAGCAAATGAGAGTGAAGAGATAATGGCCACGTTAGAGAGGGTTGCATACCCTGCTGAAGTTTGTACTTTTTTTGGGGGGGGTGTTTAATTTTTTTTATTATTATGTTATGTTAATCACCATACATTACATCATTAGCTTTTGATGTAGTGTTCCATGATTCATTGTTTGCGTATAACACCCAGTGCTCCATGCAGTACATGCCCTCTTTAATACCCATCACCAGGCTAACCCATCCCTCCACCCCCTCCGCTCTAGAACCCTGTTTGTTTCTCAGAGTCCATAGTCTCTCATGGTTCGTCTCCCCCTCTGATTCCCCCCCTTCATTTTTCCCTTCCTGCTATCTTCTTTTTTTTTTTTTTTTAACATAATGTATTATTTGTTTCAGAGGTACAGGTCTGTGATTCAACAGTCTTACACAATTCACAGTGCTCACCATAGCAGATACCTTCCCCAATGTCTCTCACCCAGCCACCCCATCCTCCCCACCCCCACCACTCCAGTAACCCTCAGTTTGTTTCCTGAGATTAAGAATGCCTCATATCAGTGAGGTCATATGATACATGTCTTTCTCTGATTGACTTATTTAAGCCTCAGAGCACCGGGAGCCATGAAAGGATCTATACCCAAGCTCAGATCTGCATTGTTGGAAGATGACTGACAGCAGGGTGGAGGAGAGATTGCAGAGGAGCCAGCAAGCAGAGACCAGTTGAGACAGTAATGTCACTGTACAGGTGAGAGCAGGGAAGGGACAGGGGGAGGGGAGGGAGAGCCACAGGAGCTATTTAAATGATAGAATTTATAGAAGTAGGAGGGAATCCGGCAGGAGTGGAATTTGATCCAGAAGGAAAGGAGAGAATGACTTCTAGGTTCAGGCTTGGGTAGAAGCAATGCCATTAACCACAACAGGGAAATGCAAGAGAAGTATTTGGTTCAGGAGAGACACTTTGTTCAGTTGGGGAATACTACACTTAAGATGCCTGTTCCAGCTATCATTGCCATGAAACCAACCATCTTAAAACTTAATAGTTTATTTTATTTTTTTTAAAGATTTTATTTATTTGAGAGAGAGAGAGAGCATGAGAGAGAGAGAGGGTGCACGAGCAGGGGGAGGGGCAGAGGCAGAGGGAGAAGCAGGCTCCCCGCTGAGCAGGGAGCCCGACAAGGGGCTCAATCCCAGGACCCCGAGATTGTGACCCAAGCCAAAGGCAGACGCCCAACCGACTGAGCCACCCAGGTGCCCCAAAACTTAATAGTTTAAAACAATAATTTATGCTTGTTGCTCATGGGTCTGTGAGTCAAGAGGGTTCAGCTGGGCAATTCTTGCTCGGAGTCTCTCAGATAATTACTGTCAGATGTTGGCTGGTCTGTAATCTTCTGAAGGCTCAGTTGGGCTGGTTGTCCAAAATAGCTCACTCCCATGGGCGGCGGCTGATGCTGGCTTTTGAATAGGAGTTCAGCGGGGCTTTTCCACCTACACATGGCCTCTCCATGTGACTTGAGCTTCTCACAGCAGGATAGCTGGCTTATAAGAGATAGAGTCCAAAGAAAAAGCATTTCTAGAGGCTTAGGCAGAAACTGCAAGGATTCTAATAACCTAGCTTTGGAAATCATTTAGTAGTTAGGAGTGGGTCACAGGGTCAGCCCAGATTCAAGGAGTGGGGGCTTCCTGGGACTTGAAGACTGAGAAACATATCTCACTGGGGCCCATCTTTGAAGACTAACACAGTGCCTTTGGGACATGCAGTTAGAGAAGTTTAATAGATATTTAAGTTATGGGTCTCGAGTTCAGAAAGAAATCTGGGCTGGGAATCTAGCTGAGAAGATAATCGGTATGTAGGCAGTGATGAAAACCATGGATGTAGGGGAGCCTGGGTGGCTCAGTCGGTTAAGCGTCTGCCTTCGGCTCAGATCATGATCCCAGGGTCCTGGGATCAAGCCCCGCATCGGGCTTCCTGCTCCGCGGGAAGCCTGCTTCTCCCTCTCCCGCTCCCCCTGCTTACGTTCCCTCTCTCACTGTGTCTCTCTCTGTCAAATAAATAAATAAAATCTTAAAAAAAAAAAGAAAGAAAAGAAAATCATGGATGTAGATGAGGTCTCCCAGGAGAATATGCATCACACAACGAAAATAACTCCAGGGGAAGAACCTTAAAACGCCAACATCTAAATGGTAAGCACTGGAACAATGAGCCCCTAACCAAGACCAAGAGCTACAGAAGCAGAGAAAACCATGAAATATACAAGCCAAACGCAACATGTCAAGAGTATCAGATGCTGCAGAGAGACAAAGTCGGGTGGGACCTGAAAACTGTTCTCACCAGCTTTGACAATTAGGTGTTCATGGGTGACTTTAGTAGGAATAGTTTTAGGGAATAGGAAAAAGCAAAGAAAAAAATAAAACAGACTGAAGTGAAATAGACAATGGTAGCTGAGAGAGAGCAGGCAAGAAACTATCACGAGACACACAATGGAAGGAAGACTTGTATTTTAAGATGGTTAGGGCAAGGACTCTGGGGTCGTATTGCCTATTTGCATGGATTTGCATATTGGCTCTCCCAGCTGTGTGATACTGATCGTTCTCCTAATTTAACCTCTCCAACCCTCACTTTTCTCCGAAGAAAGTGACATTTAAGCTGGCACTTGAAGGAGGACCAGGAATCAGCCAGGCAGCGGGTTGGGAGAATAAAGGTTTTGGGTGGGGTAACAGCAAGGATGTGAGTTTGGAATACACTTGGCTTGTGCAAGAAAAAGACTGGAGTGGGACGGCCTGGCAGGAGACGCAGGAGAGGCAGGGGGCGATGTGGTCCGTGGAGTAGCATGAGACTAGGGGAGGAGGAGACAGGAGTCTGATCTTTCTGGGCGTTACACTTGGTGCGGGGGGGGGGGGGGGGGGGGGGGAGAGGGAGGGACATGGGTTTTATTCTAAGTCCAAAGGGAAGTCATTAGAAAGTTATAAACAGATGAATTACATTATTTGACACATTTTAAAAAGATCACTCATGGGGGCGCCTGGGTGGCTCAGTCGGTTAAGTGTCTGCCTTCAGCTCAGGTCATGATCCCAGGAATTGAGTCCTGTGTCAGGCTCCCTGCCCAACAGAGGAGTCTGCTTCTCCCTCTCCCTCTCCCCCTGCTTGTGTGTGTGCGCGCTCTCTCTCTCTCTCAAGTAAATCAATAAATCACTCTGTTTTTAAAAATAAACATACACCTACCCAGCAATTCTACTCCTAGGTATTCACCCAAAACAAATGAAAACATGTGTTCACAAAAAGACTCATGCAAGAATATTCATAGCCATTTTATTTGTAGTAGCCAAAACCTGGAAAAAGTTCACATATCCATCAATTAAAAAATTATAAACACACTGTAATATATTCATAAGTAGACTATTACTCAGCAATAAAAGTAAGTGAATTACTGATATAGGCAACAACATGCTACGTGAGTCCATTCCTATGACTCTCTAACAGGCAAAGGCCACCTATAATGGAAAAAACTTCGAATCGTGGTTTCTTCTGGGGTAGGAGTGGGAGCAGGGGTTGCCTGGGAAGGGTTTTTAGGGAACTTCCTGAAGGCATAGTTAATGTTCTGTACTTGAAAAGAGTTAGGGTTCAACAGTTGCCCAAACTCAGCAAATGTAAATTTAGGAGTTAAATTTCATATTAAAACAAACCAAAAAACCCCACACAATTATTGAACTCTCATGAATTATATGTATGCTGAAGGCTTTTTACAGGGAAGGGTACTAATATCTGCAATTTCTTTGAAATACACCCAACTTAAGGTAGATTTGTGATGAACAGGGGGAGAGATTGATGGCCAGAAATATAGTAAAGCAAGTATATGCGTTTTGGGCTGAATTGTGTCATCTCAAAATTCACATGTGGAAGTCCTAACCCCCATTCCTGGGAATGGAACACTATTTGGTGATAGGAGGTTTCAGAGGTAATTAAGGTAATATGAGGTCATCTGGGTGGGTCCTAATCCAGTGAGTGGTCTCCTCACAGGAAGAAGAGATGTGGATACAGAACACAGACCGAGGGACAACCATGTGAAGACACACAGAGAAAATGGCCGTTTGCAAGCCAAGGACATGAGCCTCAGAAGAAACCAAACCTGCTGACACCTTGATTTTGGACTTCTAGCCTCCCAAATTGTGAGAAAATAAATTTTTGTTGCTTGAGCTATCCGGTCTGTGGTATTTTGTTATGGCAGCCTTAGCAAACTAATACATATAAGGAAAATGTTAATGGCAGAAACTAGGTAATAGGTATGAATATTCACTACAAAATTACTTCAGCTTTGCTGCATATTTCAAAATTTGCATAGTAAAACATTGCGGGGGAGATCACTCTGATCTCTGTGTTTAAAGGATTTAGGGAACTGTGGAAGGTGGGAGGAGGGGGTTACAGTGACTGAAGTGAAGAATGGCAGGAGCTTGTTCTAGGATGATGGTGAGAGTAGGCTTGGAGAGAAATGGGCAGATTCTACATTTACGTGAGAGATGGAAACAGCAGGACTCTCTGAGACACTGGATACAGAATATGAGTGAAATGACAAAATCAAAGATGCCTGCTATGTATTTCTACAACTGTGTGGCCAGTCATATTTACTAAGATGGAAAATATACGAGTCACGGGAGCAAATCCCAAGTCTTGTTTGGTCCTGTTATGTTTGAAATGCCCATGGGATACCCACCTGGCATGGTCAAGGAGTAAGTTAAATATAAAACGTAGAACTCAGATGATGCAAAGCATCTGAATGGCTTAGCACCAGGCCTGATACATAGTAAACATAATAAATGCTTAGTATTACCGCTAATTATTTTTGTAATTATAGGAGGTGTGACTAGAGGTAGATCTATTAACACTGAATATAGTATACTGGTATATTCTGCCTGAGAAAGGAGATAAGATTAAAAATATATGATTAGGGGGTGCCTGGGTGGCTCAGTCGTTAAGCGTCTGCCTTCGGCTCAGGATCCTGGGATTGAGCCCTGCATCAGGCTCCCTGTTAGGCAGGAAGCCTGCTTCTCCCTCTCCCACTCCCCCTGCATGTGTTCCCTCTCTCTCTGTCTCTCTGTGTGTCAAATAAATAAATAAAATCTTGAAAAATAAAAATATATGATTAAATCTGAGATGCTATGTGAAATGGCTAATAGAAAGCCATTTGCACAAGCCCCTGCGCCGAATAACATAGGGCTGAGTGAGCTCAGGCTGTCCTGTTATTTCATCCATCCTTCGGGCAACATCACTTCCAAATCAACTCAGAGAAATGATAATTTATTCTCCATTAAATAACTCATCCTAATGTTTAATAACTACTAGAGTCACTTGGGTTTTTTTTTCCCAATTTGAATTTGTCTAAATATAGCGAGAGCTCAAATTCTTGGCCCCAGAATGCAGCTTCTTAAAATCTTAATATATGGTATGATTTTGTTTCTGTTTATCTGATAGGTCAGAGTCCCTGGATGGACTTGCAGTGCAGTATCCTTGGATGCAAAAATGTAACACATTTTAGACATCTTTGTTAGAATTTTATATTCTTCATTAGATACGGCACACAGATAGCGCCCCTAGAATAACCATGTAGGCAGGAAAATTGGGGGGGCAATGAAAACCTGTCATCCATGTCATTATTTCTGCATTCAGCCTTTCGGGAGGAGGAGAAGTGTCACTCAGGGCATCTCTGCAATTGCCTGAGCTGCATCGGTGTCCCCGGCTGCCTGACACGATCCTGTCGAGCTTGCTGACACCCTCCTGTTTCCTCCCCCATCTATGCATCCCTACTCTCTTCTCAGTGGAAACAGACCCGGTATTTGTTCCAACTGAATGAAAAATAGTAGCACACACAATTTTGATGGGGTTTCCCTTTTTGAAAGAACAGCTACCAGCTGCCTTGGGTGCTCGACAATGTGCTAGACACCACGCTCAGTGTCATTTCATTCACCCTTCGTAGCAAAGGTCCTCCGAGGTGGTATCTATTGTTACTTCATCTTACAGATGAGGCAGCTTATACTCTAGGAGTTTAAGTAACCTGCTCCACTCGTAAGTGAGGGAACTGGGGTTCAAAATGAAGTCAGACAGCCAACAGAGAAAAATCTCCTAACTGCTGTATGTATCCTCAGCATCACTGATGAGCATGCCCTCAGGAGGCCAGAGGCTTAGCAGGGTGGGCTGATTCCCCTGACTCCTCAGCAGCCATGAAGCTCCCAGCTTTCTGTTCTGCCTCTGAGGGAAGCGCTGAATGATCAGTTCCTTTTCTGTATGAATCTGAAGGCTTCCCCAGCAAGGCCTCCTACATGGGCCCTCAGACCCTCTCAAATCCCCCCTCACGCCTGTAGTGTTTTTCCAGGGCATAAACCTTCCCATCTCCCAGTGAAGATGAATCCATCTGGATTAGATTTAGCTACTGGAGATGGGGCGGAAAAGGAAAAAGAGCAGCTAGCTATAAAAGGCCATAGAAAGACCAGGAAACTATTCAGGAATAAGTAGGTAGGCTCTGAAGTCAAACTTCACCTACCAAGCTGCTGATTGCCAATCAGCCCATTCCAAAAAGAATGAAAGGCTAATGTTCACCTGCCCCCAGTCTATTCTTTCCACTCTGGAGCCCACACATCCAGCGTATGGGACTTCACAGAGCACTAAAACCAAGCTCCCACCTTGCTTCTTGCTCCTCTTGCATTATATGCATTTATATTTTAAAAAGCTGATCATCTGGAGAAAGGAGTTCATTTCTCAACAAAATCTACAGCTGGTATAAATCAAAATTTCCATAAGGCTTTCACTCCATGTTGCTCTGCTGGGCACCAAGAAAGCATCTCTGCTTGATCTGGAGAATGGTGATCACTGGTGAGCTACTCTGCGCCACTGGCCTCATTCAGACCATCTCTAAGGTGTCCCATGGGGGCCTAAGCTGTTTAGTAGAGGCTTCAGGAATGGGCTGGAGAATAATAGTAAAAAGATTTGCCTGGGAGTGCTGGGGTAATTCTATTACTTAAGTCACAAAGTCAAGTTAATTCCAATGAAATATTTATGAGGTTTATTTACTATCTATCTTCCACATTAGACTAGGGCTGGATTAAGAGGCAACCCAGTCAGCCAAACATCAATCTAAAAGGGGAGCCAAAACCACGTACTGCTAAAACCTGGCCGGGATGTCATAAGAAGGAAGCAGTGTGTATTGACCTCATCACTTTTAGAGCACTAAATATGAACGGAAGAAGCACTAAATGCCTCCCAGCGAGAAGGAAAAATATCAAAGGAACAAGTTAAACTGCATTCTAAGGAGCTGGAAGGAATTAGCCCCAGGGCTTTTGCTTTGCTGGATGAAACTTACAGATTTGAGGGTAGCTAAATTGCTCTGGACCAGAGAGAAGAGGCAGAGAGCACTCCCGCTAAGAAGCACTCCGATCCCTCCCTCTTAGTTCAAGGGATGCCAAATAATTCCCTTGGCCAGGGTAGCCACCCGTCTTGGTGTGCCTCTGGCTGGAGGGAGAGCTCCGTGCAGACAGGGCTACCGCTGTTCTGTTCAGGACTGTCCACTCAGCATCTAGCTCTGTGCCTGCCAGAGTGTGCAGCCTAGAGGCATGCCATGGCTCTGCTCTAGGGGGCGCCATTCGCAGATTGTGGGGTCAGTGTATCAGCCGCCCAGGCAGTGCACTACCATTTGGGCTGCATACAGAGACCCCAAGATTTGTAGGTTGGCCTACTGAATGAGGAAATAACATGTAGACAGAGAAGGATTAACTTTTTTCCCCCAGCCTTCTCTCCCCACATCCGTGTCATTGCCTTCATTTAGTCTTATGCCTTCCTCCGTTGACTTGAGCAGGGCAGGAGAGCTTTCGGCCTCTAACCATCCTGTGCTAATTCATTCTCCTTATTTGGCATGAGTCAGCTCTCTGTAACAACACCAGATCATGCCACTTCCGTTCTTAAAAGCCTCTGATGGCTTCTCATTGCCAGCAGAAAGGATAGACTTCTTAGTGTGGAAATAAGAGCCTCTATGATTGGTCCCAAACTGACTTGTCCAGAATCATCTCTCACTACTCCCTGCTTTTTATGCTCTGTGCTCCAGCCATGCCCAGTGTCAAATTCACTACATGCCTTCTCACTTGGGGCCACTGCCCATTCCATACCTGCTCCCAGGGCTCACCTTTTTTCCCCTTTTCAGTATTGGCATGGGTTTTCCACATTGAATATATCTTTAAAAACAAATATTTTTGTAATATTACGTATTTTTAAAAGATTTTATTTATTTATTTATTTATTTATTTATTTATTTATTTGAGACACACACACACACACACACACACGGGGCGGGTAGGGAGAGGGAGAGAATCTCAAGCAGATGCCACACTGAGCATGGAGCCCAACCAGGGGTTTGATCCCACGACCCTGAGATCATGACCGGAGCCAAAACCAAGAGTCGGATGCTCAATCAACTGAGCCACCCAGGTGCCTCTGTCAAATTATATTTTTTTTACAAATTTTTAATTTTAGAATAGTTTCACATTTACGGAAAAGCTGCAAAGAGGGTACAGAGAGTTCCCATAGATCACACACCCAGTTTTTCTTATTATTAACATCTCATGCTGGCCCTGGTGCACTCATCATAACTAATCAATCAATAGTGATACCTTATTATTAATCAAAGCCCATACTTTATTCAGTGTCTGAACCAAAGCTCATACTTTATTTCCTTAGTTCTTATTTGATTTTTCTTTTGCAGGATCCTACCCAGGATATCACATTACATTTAATTTTGATGCGTCCTGAGGCTTCTCTTGGTTATGGCGGTTTCATAAACTTCCCTTGTTTTTTGATGGCCCTGACTCTTTGGAGGACTACTGGTCAGATATTTTGTAGGATGCCCATCTACTAGAATTTGCCCGGTGGATTTTTTCCTGATTGGAGCTCTCCCTCCAGCCAGAGGCACACCAAGACGGGTGGCTACCCTGGCCAAGGTGGGGTTATAGGTTTTGGGGAAGAAGACCACAAAGTGCCATTCTCGTCACATGATATCAAGGATAAATGCTATCAACATGTCTTACCGCTATTAATGTCAACCTTGATCACCTAGCTGGGGTGGAGTTTCCCAGGTGTCTCTTCTGTAAAGTTACTCCCCATACCCTTTTCCATACTGTATTCTTCGGAAGGAAGTCACTATATGCAGCTCATACTTAAGGGCTGGGAAGTTATGCTCCACCTTCTTGAGGAGGGAGCATCTACATAAATTATCAAATTAGATTTCTAAAGCCATTTTGTTCTCTTGAATGTCTATTTTTACCCACAAGTTTCTAATAACCAGTGTGGCTTATTCTCAGTGGATTGCTTTGACTTTGGGTAGTCACAGAATTAGAGTAAAACGTAGATATATGGTTCAGTTTTTCTCATTTCCTTTCAAGGCCTATCCTCTGAACTGGAATTACTTGTTACATTTTAAATATATAATTTATAGCCTTTATTTAAACTTTACGAATAATAGAGAATGCCATCTATTCTCTAGAAAGAGGAGAAACAAAAGACTAGAAATGTTAATGATTCAGATTAGCAGAGAGTGAAAATTATTAATACACTAGACAACTATTGTTTTATATATATCTGCCTAGGAAGAAGTTGTAGAAGAATTCAGACCTGTTAAGAAAAAAAAATAATTTATTCTTAAAGTGGCACAAATGCATTCTGACCATCTGAGGACAATTCAGTGACTGTCAAGAATCTGTTCTGATGCTCTCGCATGTCCCACACCAATACGTGTTATTACTTGAATGCCACAATGTGAAGCAGAAAGACGCAACTCTCCTGCGTGAGTTCCAACGCTTTAAGTTCTTCATTTAATATACTTTTCCAAAAGAAAGAATCTGCCGCTGCCTATTATCGGATTTAGACAGATTATCCTATTTTTTGAATTGGCAAGTCTTTAGAGTGAACATCTCTTGGCACAAACAGATTGTACTTGTAAAGCCTTTCTGTCTAAAAGACAGAAAAACCCACCACCAAAGAAACATCTTGTTCAGCTTTCCCTAAGAGTCAGCTTGAAAAAAGGCAACCAAGTGCACCCAGATGGCAACTAGCTCATCACTACCCGCCTCACGGAATTCCAATGACCTTTTTCCCCCAAGCCAGTTTATGTGTGGATAAGACCTAAATCTAGAGCCTTAAAGATTTACGGTAAAGTTGTTATCCCTAAGTATTCCCAATAAGTAAACAGTTAAGACATGATCCAAATGGCCTGAATTTGATCCCTGGAATCCCCCTAAAAGTGCTTTCCCTGGGGCACAATTTCCCTGAGGGGGGGAAAAAAAGAACAAAAGAAATGAAATCAGACTTTATTTTGGAATATCTGCATTGGTAAGGGAAAGGAGCTATTAATCACAGAAATGTGTCTTAAAGTTTAACTTTCTAAAGCAAAACTGCACAGTATTTAGTAAATGTAAAATAATTATTGAAATTCATAAGCAAGCAAGCAAGCCATGGGCACTAGAATGAGTGATTCAGGAGTTTCACATTAGTCATTTTATTGTTTTTTTTAATTAACATATAATGTATTATTTATTTCAGGGGTTCAGGTCTGTGATTCATCAGTCTTAATAATTCACAGCGCTCACCACAACACATACCCTCCCCAATGTCCATCACCCAGCCACCCCAACCCTCCCACCCCCCATCACTCCAGCAACCCTCAGTTTGTTTCCTGAGATTAAGAGTCTCTTATTTGGTTTTGAAGTGACCAACTATAGGAGGCGTATCATGTCCACCCAATTATCTCCCTGTATTCCGAACAGGTGACACTGGGTATGTCTCAGTAGACACAACATGGAAGCCAACGACATCAGAATTATGTGAGTGACTGTTCCCAGCTGGAGAACTATACACATCTCTGTATGTTGCCATGAAGTGAGATCCACTGCATTTACCAAACAGTATACAAAGTAAGATCTAATTTTTGGTAAAATACAGATCTATAGTATGAATGTCTACATATGCAAAAAACAAGTCTAAAATGCACTAAAATGAATTGTGAGAATATGAGTGATCTTTATTTTTCTCTTGTACTTTACTATACTTTCAGAATTTTTCTAATAGTACTTTTTAGAAACTTAAAATAACTTAAAAATAAAGATAGACATAAACATAATTTTTCTCTTGCCTGCCAGAATTTTTTCTTTTTCTCAGTCATATGTCTCTTAACTTACTTTCATACCCTTCATTATTTGCAACTAAGTAGAAGGAATTTGGACTTCTTAAGAAAAAAATGTATTAACAGTATGGTATCTGATGGTGACTTGGATCAATTGGAGGCTACATAGAAAAAAATTAAAATTCCATTTGTTTTTTTTCCTGCAAGAATTTTTAAAGCCTCTTAACGGTTTATAAACAATCTGACTATACATCAAATTTTTGTATTTACAGCATCTGTTATCATTGGTGGTCATAAACATAACTTGACTTTTTTCCACGAGGAAGAGAAGTATGTAGTTTCTCTGGTTAATTCGCATACCTAAAAGCCTCAAAATCTCCTGGAACTGATAAAGTCTGTCAGAGTCCCTTTGGTAGGAATGAGGAGAAGCTTATGCATTAAACAGGACCAAGTTCTCATATTCAAATGAATTTCCAATAGTTTGTGCATTTTTTTGAATTGTAAAATAGGAAGGTTTCTGGCAGCAAAACTAATATGCATTGCCTTGGATAGGGCATGAACCATGAGAAGGGTACTGGCAGCCACAACAGAGGAATATACTCTTCCTATGCCCTTGACTGCTTCTTCTCTAGGCACAGGCCCTTCTCTGGGTAAGACGCCCAGCTACAGGAGGGAAGGGCAAACACAGAGCAGTGGGGGAGGAAGGCGACAACCACATAACCAACCAAAGTCAACTGAGCAATGTTCCACACACTGAAAAATTCACAGAATGCAGAAAATCATAATACAGGGATTGAAAACACAGCTCCTAGAATAGTGCTTAAACTTTTAATGCACACTAGGATCACCCTGAAGAGATTGTTAAAACACAGATTCTGGGGCCTCCCATCCAAAGATTTGGATTCAGTCAATCTAGAGTATGCCCAAGAATTTGCATTTTTCACAAGTTCCCAGATATTGTTGATGCTGCTGGGCTACAGATGACACTTTGAGAATAAATAGACTCTATTTGGCCTTAAATACTGTCTCTACCACTCACTGGCTGTGTTAAACAAGTGGATGACCCAGTCCCTCCCAGGCTCAGTCAACTCCTCTGTGAAATGGGCTAATACTAGCTCTTGCCTCCTAGTGTTCTTGTGAGGATAATATGAGAGAAGCCATCTAAGGCTCTTGCAAAAACACTCAATAAATGTCAGCTATTATTATTAATACTAACATTATTTTGATATTGTATCAAATCTTCCTGATTTCAGTTGAGGAAACTGAGGCCCCAAGAGATTGAGTGACTGTCACATGGTCTCAAGGCTAGTGATCAGTGAAGCTGGCATGTGGACCTTGGGCTTCCAGACTGTCTCAAGACACCAGACGGAGCATACCCTGGGACATCTCACGGAGGCTGAACATTTTCAGCTGGTCTCAAACCCATGATCTTCACATAGGAAATAAATACCAAAACAAGCCTGCAAAGGTTGCAAGCATCTAACAAAGCTGACTGACACCAACCATGTCCTGCTTCTGCCAAATTGAAAGGGAACATACTGTCCTGGGTTATCAAAATGGGAAACCAAGGTCATGCTGAATGAGGAAACTGTTAGAGCCCTAATAACTGAGGTGTTGGTATTCCTCCTCTTTCTGGAGAACGTGAGGGGTCTGGTGGACATGAAACACACACTTTGACCCCCAGGAATTTATCAGGGGGACAATTCACAGTCATAATCTAAGCTGCCAACAGGACACTTGGGATAACAGAAAATTATCCCCACACTGTTGCCTACCTTTGGCCTGCTGAAAAAGAGAGAATTCTTTAACTTTGGCTTTAATGAAATGCACAATTATGCATTTTTTAGAAGAACAGAACAAGCATCCTTTCCCAGCCAATAGAATGTAATGTGCTTTTCAGTAAAGCTGCTGAGAAAAGCAATAAATCCCAGCCTTGCCATATTAATATGTCTGACCTAGAAATCAAGAAAGAAGATGCTCTTCTCAAATCTCCAATCAGCTTTCTGCTTTGGGAAATTGGAACACTAGGGAGAAACAGAGATCCTGGAACATTATCTTCAAAGCAGAACTGAAAGGAATACTTTAGATTAAGAATAACTTCACAACATTCAGAAGATTCCAGCAATCCTTACGCGATATCAGAAAACTGTTTTGAATTTTTAATGAATTGATAACTTACTTAACAGGATTATGATGACAATTAATACAGACCGTAGCACATAGTAAATGCTCTGTAACTGTTTGCAACCACGATTATGAATTATGATGATTTGGGGCTGTGGTAAAGCCAAGGGTTTACAGGCTGGTTCAGATCTCTGTGACTTTCACGATTCTGTGACGTAAAGAAATCTGCTCCCTCAATGGGATTCAATAGAGAGAGTAACTGAGGGGAAGAAAAATATTTTAACAATGAAAGTTTTAGTAAACAAGGAAACAAGTCTTTTTTAAAAGAGCTGCATTTGGGTTTTGTTCATTTTTTAAAAAATCAATTTGGTTTACGTATTCTGTGAAGAAATATTCAGGACTTTTCAAAACCACAACTGATCGATTTTAACCAGGTAATCAGAATATGCACAGAGACATATAGTAGGAAAAATGGTATGTCTTTTATTCTCACTTTCCAGTTCATCACAATCGGGTTCTTAGAGACCTGATGATCTCACAGGATATTTTCACTAACTGTAATTTTGTAATGTGTTCTGACATCCTACTGAGTTCTGAATGGCCAACTTTTATCAGTATTTTGGAATGGGACAGTTCCAGCTACTCATAGTACCAGGGTCCAGATGCATGTGTTTTCATACAATGTTGGAATTATAATCTATGCAGTTATTCATGAGGGTTGTAAAACTACGATTCAGGGCAAGTCAAAAAGGATGCTGATTACAATCACTTTTTCACCTCCTTTAAGAAGAGAGTTTAGGTTCATTAAACAGGGGCTTAATTTCAGCTGTGTAAAAAATACGTCGGCATGTAACCAGGAAGGAATGGAAAACAGAACACGGTTTTCACCAGTCAATCCTGTACCTTTCAGAGTCTGTACCCCTCGCAAACTCTCCTCTCTTGTCCTGTCAGGTTTTTTTTTTTTTTTTTTAAGATTTTATTTATTTATTTGAGAGAGAATGAGAGAGAGAGAGCACGAGAGGGAAGAGGGCAGAGGGAGAAGCAGACCCTCTGCGTCCTGTCAGGTTTCTACTTCAATCCAGGACCACCATCGGATTCTGGGCTCTATCTATTACAAACCTACCCTGCCCTGTGAGCTTGGATGCTATTTGACCTCCCGAGCTCCTGCACTTTCTGCTACACTTCAAATATTAGCTGACAGTTAGTAGAATCCCCAGCCTTTCGATGTTGTGTGGTCTTGGGGAGTTCCTACCTCACCTCAGCTGGCTCCTATTGACCCCAAACCAACTCATCTATGACCAACGGCCCATGAAGCCCCCTGATTTCCTGCCAGAGGTAACTCTGAAATTGATGCATTAGGTAGGAGGGTGATTAAATGTTTTGTTCAGTCTTACTAACGTAGGCTACGGACATAATTTCATACAATAAAAAGTGGGAGTCAAGAGAAAAATGGGGGGGCGGGGTCCAAAGTTTTCATGTAAACTACAAAGCCTTGCAGAAGAAGTTCCCTGTTGGA